TTCGGAGGTTTGCTTCAGGGACTCCACCCGGAGCCTTTGGCCCAATAGCCTGACCCACAAGGCAGTGGGTGGTTTGGAGGTTTGCTTGAAGGACTCCGCCCGGAGCCTTTGGCTCAATAGCCTGACCCACAAGGCAGTGGGTGGTTTGGAGGTTTGCTTGAAGGACTCCGCCCGGAGCCTTTGGCTCAATAGCCTGACCCACAAGGCAGTGGGAAGCAGATCCAGCTGAAAAATGTAATTGCAGAGACAGATTGGGCTCTGCTTTACGGCCGTCACACACAGCCTTTGAGGTACTGGAACAATTATTATATGTCTTGCGACTGAAGTAGGATACGCACCTGCGACCACGGCCAGCCGCAGGTGGGTTTTTGGCGGGTTTGCACCAATTTGACCAGGGGCTGCCTGGCTTGAGGCGGGTAGTAGCAAACCACTGAACACCCGGAGGTGTCCTCCCGTTTTCACAGACAATGCGTGGCACTCGTGCTTTTCGCCAATTGAGCTGTGAGCTTATAACCCGTAAACATGTTGGCTCCTATGGCTAGGTTTTACGGAGAGAGGGCCATCGAACACTTCCTAACCTCCGAAGAGGTTGGACTAGGATACTGCCAGGGCACCCACACCTGACAGGAGAACGACTCGGGTCCTCAGCCAAAGCCTTCGATTAAATGAACACCCGAAAGGCAGCGGGTCTAGCACATGGTCAGTTAGCCGACTCATGCGGTTTGGCGTCCTGGATCTTAGCAGGGAGAAGGGCGAAAACAAACTCCCACCCAGCGGTCGCCACGTGGAGACGCCCAGGACATGAAGCTATGGCGCAACAGCACCCGCAGTGGGTAGATCATCTGTCAGGATCTGGCCACCTCCAGCCTCAGCGCACCATAGGCTCTCCCGCATATACACAAATACAAAAATACATTTCCGTAGAAACACTACGTGCAGTGGTGCCATTTAATACTTACGGGCACCCAGCTTATATGAACAATCATTCAGCTCTATTGCATATGGTAGCATTGCTGTGATACCTGCTGTGCAGCCAGCAACCTATAAAACTTCAGAGTGGCCAGCATATAGCAGTTATCAGTTAGCACTATTGCACCTTGCAGCATTACCGATAGGCAACATATGAAGCAAGCAGCATACATTAATTGCTGCCAAATACGTTCTTTCAGCAGCTCGTTTTACGTAATGCGTAGACTGAAACACATAGTCGCCTCGTTTTTCCCTTGTAGTTCGACAACAACCGTTCCAAAACCCTTTGCAGGCATGTATACCTATATACAATCCACCGGTTATATATCTACCTAAATAATTTTGAAAGCGCTTTCCCCCATTA